AAACCATGGGAGCGAGAATCAATAAACTCTTTAAAGGTGGTTTGGACTGCCGCATCGGAGTTGAATTTTTTCCTTGTAAGAAGTTGTCCAAATTCCAGAAAAAATGTTGGAGCAAGTACCGGGGAGTACGGTGGATTTCGCAGACATTCTAATTGTAACTCATCTAACTTAGTGGTTGTTTGTTGTGCAGTGTGTGGTCTTGCGTTGTCGTGAAGCAGCAGTGGCCTAGAGCGATTGACCAATCTCGGTTGTTTAGCAGCTGGTTCTTCTTTCATGGTTTGCAGTTGCTGACAATAGATATCTGTCGTAATCGTTTGGTCAGATTTTAGAAAGCTGTAGTGAACGATACCGGCGCTAGTCCACCAAACACTCTCAAGTAACTTTTTCTGAATCAATTTTCGTTTAGGGCAGGATTTCACTGGGTCTCCAGGGTTAATCCATTGCGACGAGCCCTTTTGATTATCGTACAGTATCCACTTCTCATCCCAAGTAATGATTCGATTTAAAATCCCTTCATTTTGTGTCGGTTGAACAAAGTAACACAGCAGTCGACGCTTCTTTGCAAGTTCAATTCACTCAATTCATGAGATACCCATCGTTCAAGTTTTATTCTTTCCCGATTTGCTTCAAGTGGATTAATACAGTTTTATCACTTACCCCGAAGCCCGCAGCTATCTCTGAAGTGCTTTGTGATGGACCCGCTTCCACAATAGCCTTTAATTCTTCATTTTTCACTTTGGTCTCCGGCCATCCACGGGGTTGGCTCTGAAGGTCGAAATTTCCAGAACGACAACGTTACACCCAAAAACGTACCGTGCTTTCTTTTGCGACACTAGCGCCGTACACATCATTAATCCTTCAAGCTGTTTCTGCAGCACTGATGCCACGATAGAACTCGTACTCGTAAATATACTGATATTTCATGTTTTCCATTGTTAGGTAATAAGCGATGCCAAAGAAAAAAATAGTGAGGAAAAAATAAATGAATGACAAAGGGGAGCTACTTCATATCAAAATACCACAGAAATCGTAACAATGAGACAATATTATTACGATTTCTGTGGTAAGGACCTAATATTATGATAAATTTTAATGTAATGGCTTAAATTTATTTGCAACTAGCTTTTAACTGCGATTTCGTCTGGGTAAAATAAAAAAATATTAAAACAAAGAAAACTGCCCAATTTCCAGCACGTATGTGGTAATTACTATGAGGTCTAACATTTAACTGACGTTAACAATCACTTGCGATACGATTAGCGTCGTATTTTTTCGTAGTTAGTTTCTTTTAAAAATATTGTTATTTTAACCATAGATTTAGTATAAATTGACGTTATATCTATGATTTCAACTTTGAATACTTAAATTTTGTAATGAAAGGCTATTGTTATATGCCAGTATTATTCTCTGATGATTTAAATATTTTTAATATTAATATTTTAATTTTGTCTCATTCGTTAATAAGCTTTGTACGCCAATGATATGTTTAATGTCCTCCAAACACTATAGCACATTATGATATGTATATATTATATGTATACACAAAAAAGGAACATCATTATTGTACACCTCAGGTTGTCATAAATAGAACGGCCCCATGCCCTTTCTTTGTAAATACTAACTTAACATGTTAGATCGACCGTCTACCGTACGCATGCCTTCATGTCAATTCTATATTAAAGTCAAGTGTTGATTTACCACGCGCTGGGCCGTGATGGAAAACATCGTGAGGAAACCGCCATGTCTCAGAAGTTAAACGTTTCGAGGACATTTGAAGTCCGTCAATATTCCTTGGGGTAGCGTGGATAGGGTTGCCAGGTGGTCGGTATTCGTCTGCATTCTCCCTACATTTCAAACGATCTCCAGATTTCCGACAAAACTCGAAATCTCCAGACAAGCAGCTTTTCGGGAAATAAAGTATGGCCTTTGATTTAATAAAAGTTAGTAATTAGACTGAACTTTTAGGTAAATTGTTTAATTTTTAAATCTATTCTGAATACTAACTACTAAACGATCCAAGGCCAAATACATGTGACAACCTAAAAATTAAGTGTACTTAAATCAGTCTTGCTTAAAGTATTTTTGTGTCCTCTTAATTAAATTAATAAACTTTTTATTTTTAAAATTTATTTCTTTCGAAAACAACTCCAAAATACCGACATTTTCAAAATTTGTCCAGATATTTTGGTATTCTGATCTGGCAAATGTAAGCGTGGAGCCATTTTCCTTACACTAAATCTTCTCAGAAATGAGGGGAGGTACGTGCCCAACTATGGGACGTAGGTTAGCTGTTATTTTGTTGTTCAATTTTTCTAAGAAATGAAAGACGAAAGTATTCTCTTAACTGTTTATACGTACGTACACGTATCTTTCAGAACACGATGTTATCAATTTCACATATATCTATTTAAAATCGATGCGCTGCAATCTTATCACATTTATCGTATAATTAAATAGAAACAGATTGATAGGAAACGCTGGTGAGACGGAATTTTAGTTATTATTGTTTGCTTAAGTTTTAATAATTAATGTGGTTTACTTTACAAATTAATTAGAAGTTAAAATATATTATTCGTAATATAACTGTCCTAATAAAATCCCTTATTTCATTGTGTATCATTACCCTTCTAGACAGAAACTTATGGTGGACATAAATTACTAGGTAAGTCTTGTTTTTATAAAATTTTGTTACAAAGAATATATCAATAACCTTGTGAAGATCTACAAAGGCGCAATATTTTTCATTGCTTTTAAGGTATATTTAAACAATACACAAAGTTGTGATTTTAGAATAGAAAAGTGGTAAAATTGAACATTTTGACAAACTGACTTCAATTTAAATAAAATGGGAACATCATCAATGTAGTCGAATTCAATTAAATACGCATTATTAAGGATAATTAAAAACTACTGGTCAGATCTTGATCAAATTTGATTGATAGGACCACATGAGAAGCGTCAACTTTAAAAAAAAGAGTTATCAAATAGGTTCACGTGGAAAAAAAGTTCTGAGATAACACACATTAAAAAAATACAGTTGAAGTAAATGAATTGAAATGGATTGAGTGAATACCTCCTCCCCTTTGAGGTCGGTCAAAAATATAAAACTCTCTTTTAAATATGAAAAAACGTGTACTTTAAAGTAAAACCTAAAAGTTTTCTTTAATATTACAAAATTTATGAATAATAAATATGCAAAGATTATGGAGAAGTAGTTCGGCTATAAAGAGGATGTTACTTACTAAATTTAAGATATTAAAAATCACTGTTAGTTAATGAAAAAATTGTAGACGCCTAATATTTTAGATGATAAATAAAATAAAATGATTAAAACAAAATGCAATAATGATATGTAAAAAATATATTCAATTTCTTAAACGGTAAGTACTTTACTTTCCTTAGACATGAGACGAAGCCACGAAAGAATCTCCACAGCTACCAATATTTCGTCATCTCAATTGGCGTAAGAGTATATATATATATATATATATATAAAAAAATAAAAAAAATAAAACAGACCGAGGAGAGTTCCAGTTCATTTTTTTTTATTAACTGGCTTTACGGCTCTGGGTTCTAGCCCTTCTGAGGCTATCATTTCTTTCGGAATCTTCATTTTATATTCTTTTTCTTCACAATATGCTGATGCATCACATTGCGAAGCCCTTGGGAGATTTTGACGATAACTCAACCTAGCGAACAGTTGATGACGACAGCCACTCAAGTTCATAAGGCGCCCAAGCGATCAAAATAACTTGAGGTTTATATCGACATTAAAGCACTTGTTTCGTCGTTTTCTCTAATAGTTCATTCATTTAACATTTAATGTTACTTTTACGAATCAAAATCCACTTCAAACCATTATTCAAGCGACAGAACAGGAGCGACAATCCGTCTACGGCCAAGTTCCCGCCAAAACTCCTACTGGTTCATATTGCCACCTACTGCACAGAATAAATAGTGTTATCTACAATGCCCATTAGATTTTTCTGACAATTCCTATAGATGTCTCTTACAATACCTACGGAATACGCCACTGGCACAAACTTTAAGGATATTTACTATGATAAATAAATATTTCATTGTTACCCACACAGGTTAGCCTACATTCAATAATACATCCGGGATGTGTAATATATCCGGCAGAAGCTAAAAAAAAACAATGCCCACTTGTTATTCTGATATAAAGCGACGATTCAGTCGGTTATCATGTGTTATAGTGATTCTATCCATCACGATACTGCTAAAACTGACCAGTCTACATCCTAATAATCTTTGTTGCTGCTAGTTTGCACACTTAATTTTCTTTGGGCTTTTCTTATAATTATATACATTACATTACACTAAATGTGATTGCGACTGGCGTGTGTTATAGGACTTAAGGTTAAATTGTAATCTGAACTGCGCTACGCTGAATTTCGCTGTTTCATTGCTAATAGTGATCGATTGCGTGAGCAAGAGAACAAGTTGAACATCCACTATTTCATTTTTAACAATATTTTTTTTATGATTTGATGCTTCACAATGGGTGCGTTTGGCAGAAAAAAGCGCTAGCAAGCGCTTACAAGCGCTAAAATAGTTTTCGGCCAGGACACGATTGCTACTTCAGTAGCGCTGACACAATCCGCCATTTTGCTTATTTAATTTGTTTGTTTTGAAGTAGAGTTTATAAGGTCTTTTGTGCAATATTAGTTTTAAGTAATATAATGACATGAATAAACATATACATGTTATTAAAAATTCATGATTGGTAAGTTTTTAATATGAATACTTTACAAACATATATTTAGATTAGGTTAGGTTCCCCGGTTAAAACTAACATCGTGTCCTAGAGGAAAATAGCTACTTACGCTTTGACAGCACTTACCGCTTACGATCGCCATTTTGTTTACAAGCACTTGCTAGCGCTTTTTTCTGCCAAACGCACCCATTGTTATTCATTTTGATATAAATGTTGTTATTTCTAACTTCCAGAGTATACCAAGCACCGATGAATAACTATAATGATACCACGCGTAGAAGACACCCAACAAAATTTTAAAGAACCAAAAGAATCCAATTTAAACTATGAATACGAATATTTGAAAAGTAAGTAGCGATTATTTATTTAATTTACAGGCGTTTTTGCAAAAATGATTACTAAACAACCCTTTCGATTGATGAACAACATGATTCAATTCTATTTTTCTAATGGTTATACCGATGCAGGAATTTCATTGGATATGGAAAGAGAAAGTCTGTTTCTAATTATCCGGCGACACTAAATAAATACATATTGCATATTGAATAAAATACTTTTAGTATTTCATTATCGTCAGCGCCAAATTAAATATTTTAAAAAAACTAACATCAGATAAAATTTTCCTCCATTTTAAATAAAACAGAATAATGCGTTATCGAAAATTCTGTTTACAAAAGGAATATCACAAGCATCAGCAAGTAACCTAGAGGGTCGATCCTTGATCCGTTTCGGTTAAACTCGTAATCATTGTAGACAAATTTAATGTTCTTTTTTGGAAAAATATGCATAGATAAACCCCACGTACTGCACAACTGTATGTTTTCATCCTTATTATATTCAAGAAACATATTTTTATTGCAGATGTGAAATGGTACCACCAACTACTCTTAAACCGACCACTGAAAGTATTATTTGCAATTTTTTTAACGGCAGTAGTGGCTCCACTTTTAATATACCACTATTGGTATTTCCAAAGTATAGACTCGCCGCCTTCTGATGGGTATTCAACAGGATCGTGTCTAATACGGAGAGCTTCACGACTTGCTTGCGGTATTGGTACCATGAACGAGTCTGATTGTCATCCACAATGCTGCTATGACGTCGATAATAAATTCTGTTTCCACAGACTACCTTCTAGATTTTGTTACATCCTTGATCAAGAATGGACAGAAAACGTTACCCTACAACCAAGAGTTTCCACTGTGCCATATTTATTCCAGAGGAGTACCGTTGCCTTGAAATTATCCATCGACGAGCTGACGCCTACACATCTTTCACTCAATTTCTATAACCCTCAACTTACAATTCACACAGGTAAAAGAGTTGAAGTTAAAGATTACGCGTATGAAATAACATCACCGGAAATGAATGTCGTAGTAAATTCATCTCATGGTAACATTTTTAATACAATGAAAGGTCCTTTAATCGCATCGCAAAATATATGGGAGATAGTGTTCAAGATAACTGATGAATATATGTTTGGTTTGGGTGAAATCCCACTAAAACAAGGCACAGTAAAAATAATTTACAATTATGATAGAGGTGTTAGTTCAGTACCACTCATATTTGCTAAATCAAACAACTCGTACCACGGTTTACTAATAGAGGCAAGTACACCAACCGAAGTGTCAATTCTTGGCGAATATCAGATCGTTGTAAGAAGTATTACTAGTTTCGGTTTAAAATTCCATCTATTTACTGGACCAAGGCCAAAGGATGTAATGAAAGATGTGATGCATTACATTGGTTCATACAAACATTTGGATTATTGGATGCTAGGAGCTCATATTTGCAGGTATGTTGTAATATATATATATAGTAAATTATTTTAAACAAGCTTGCCAGGCAGACGTTGTTCTGCCTTTTTCGACGACCCTTTGTCATGTCCTATTAAAAATTCTTAAATTCGCAAAAAAAAAAACTGTGGGCAAAAAAACTATCCTATCTCTCAAGTTGGACAAAACTGCATACGGTGTGCAAATTTGATTAAAATCAGTTAAGTAGTTTAGGAGTCCATCGCGGACAAACAACGTGACACGTAATTTATATATATTAAGATATAAATTAAATTAAAGATATTAATAGTTATTTTGCAACCATTCGCTAAATGAAATAATATAATGTGTCTTCCCTAGTTTGAAGAGCACCTCCGCTAAGATTACTTAGCGGTCAGCCGCCGTAGAGTCAACATCACCTGAAGATGCCTCGTATAGAGGCGAAACACGTGTCGTATTATAGTCGATGGTGTGGCTTTCCTAGAATAGTGGTGTTGGGAGTAGTGGTGTTGGGAATAGTGGTGCCGGCATTGGTGGTGACGGGATTAGTGCACGCAATTGAGGGAGGGCGGGAGGTGCTCTTCAAACTAGGGAAGACACATCATTTTATTCAATTTAGCGGATGGTTGCAAAATGACTATTTCTATCTTTATTATAACGGATTTCCGCAAAGTAAGATTCTATCAATTATATATTAAAATATTATTATAATTACAGTCTATCATAAACCCACTACTAAACATGGCTCAAAGACAAATATAACTGTAGTTTACTATGTACTCGTACATCAAAACATTTTAATTTTTTAGTGAAATATCAGAAACCACAGAGGAAGCTTTTGCAGAGCTAAATGATTTTATAAACAAAGCCTCGACACAAAATCTTCCATATGAAAGTCACTGTGGCACAATGCCTATTGTTTTTAAAAGTGATAGGTGTGACGCAACGGAAGAAGACTTCATTAATAAGGGAGTTCAGTTACTAAAAACGGCTAAGAAACGCTTTGTGCCTCACATATCTCCTTATGTAAGTATATTATATATTTGTAAATATTAGTATGTATAGTAAAATAATTTAACATAATCGCATTATTATTGAAGCGCAAGAATACATAACGTAAGTGAACGGAGGCTAGCAACCGACTGATGATGAAAAACCGGTCAAGAGCGTGTCGGGCCACGCTCAGTGTAGGGTTCCGTAGTTTCCCGCCCGTCACAATAAGTGTTCCCACTTATGAGTTTGTACAAAAACTGTTGTTTCCATCCAAGTTCAAAATGATTTTCCTAGAAAGTCCTTATAAAGTTCTACTTTTCAGATTTTTTTTTCATATTTTCTAAACTTATGGTTCAAAAGTTAGAGGGGGGGACACGTTGTTTTTTTACTTATGGAGCCATTATTTCCGAAATTATTGACATTATAGACAAAAAATGATTATAGTAAACCCCTATTCATTTTTAAATACCTTTCCAACAATATATCACACGTTAGGGTTGAAATTAAAAAAAATCACTTCCCACTTTACATATGGGGGCTAGCATAATAAAACATTTTTTTCCAATTTTTATTTTACCACTTTGTCGGCGTGATTGATGCACATATTGGTACCAAATTTCAGCTTTCTAGTGCTAACGGTCACAGAGATTAAGCGAGGACGGACAGACGGACAGACAGACATGGCGAAGCTATAAGGGTTCCTAGTTGACTATGGAACCCTAAAAATCTATCCGAAATCAATGTATCAAAATTTTGTAGACCGTTATGGGAATCAGCATTACTAGTGCAAGGATATCGACTCCGCGTTCATAAGCCCGCTGGCACGATGAACATGGGCCAATCTTCAAACTTGAGGTTTGCCAGTGGATACCAAAAACCTGCTGAAAAGAAAAAGTATCGTCATTAATCCTTGTACTGTTAAAAATTCACTATTTAGTGAGTTGAACATTAGTTTTTGCCACGAATATGAAGCTAACTGCCAATTGCCATGATAAACTGCATGGTAAACGTTAAAATTAGCCTATATACGTCCCACTGCACACAGGCCTCCACTCACTTCTGTGAGGTTCCGCCGCGGTACCCAATGCGTGTTGGTGAACTTCACATGTCTCCGAAATATTTTCTTTTCTTATTTCTCGGACATGCAGATTTCCTCACGATGTTTTCTTTCACCGCCGAGCACGTGGTAAAATCAGCACTTAAAATTGCAATTAACTATTTCATTGGTGCCGGCGGGGATCGAACCGTTCCGAACCGTTATTCGCGTTCTGTTATATTTACAGCAAGCGTTAACCATCAGAGCTACCACGGCTCTTGAAACAAAGAATTAAAGCTTTAATAACAATTAATTTTTCTTAAAGTAAATTTTGGAGTTTCCATTAAATGTAAAAGGAAATTAAACTTATATATCGATTTTTCACAGATCCGACATCACGAGTTAGTAGAAGCAGAGGAAGAAACGGAAATGAATGAAGAAATTAAAAGCAACTGTACATCAAATCTTCTTAGTTATGAGAAATATATATTTCGCGATTCAAACACTTTGAAAATGTATATGGGTTTAGTTGGACCACACAGTGTATTATATCTTAACTATGAATCGATATCCGAAGAATTGATAAAACAATTATGGCCTTACAACACAGATGTAGATGGCTTAGTTCTTGAAAACAACTGGCCATTAGATGAAACTCTAAAACTTCACAATGAAACATCATTATACCTGCCCTACTTTAACGAGGTTTGTGTTTGGGTTTTTATTTTGAGTACCGTTCTCTAAAAGTATAATGCAATTTTATGGAACGATTGCAGTTCTAGCAAGTTAGTAAGTTTATTTATTTACTGAGATTACTATGCATTTTAAAATTAGCCTTAAATTAAACCTGAAATGCAAAACCTTCCATGTGTACTACTAGACGGGCTCTGCAGCCTTAAAGGCCGCTTTACATTCCCGCGTGAATCGCGCGCGAGCTCGCGAACCACCCGCGAAATATGAGTGTAAAATCATTTCACGTATTCTTCGCGGCTTATCGCCGTTCCTCGATTTTTGTCGGTTTTTTTGGTTCACTACAAAAGACCGCGAAGCGCGAAATTCCACCACACACTGCCACATCGGCACAGGCTCAGTCGCTTACCTTACTGACGAGTGTCACGAACGGTTGTATGTATAATCTTTTCTAAAAGCTATATTTTAGCTGAAGTATTAATGAATTCAACACCGTCCTTACATTTTTTGAATATTATCCTTAATTTCTTCCTAAGAAAATTGCTAAGTTTTTGTGATTAATTTCGTAATTGCGTGGCATATTTATTTTACCTTGCCACCTAGCCACCCAGCCCAGTCCAGCATATCCGGCGCCCGCGCGATCCTCACTTGTGACACAGTTTATATTTAAGTAAAAAATATAAAAGTAGGTATAAAATAACTTTTTTCTAATTATATTTTAATAAGTACTCTAAAAATGTTTCAGAATTTTGAACATGCCTTGGACCGTACGCCTCAATGGAATCTTACATTACCTGATGGTGGTAAATATCTTTACAAAAATAGTCTGTACGGAAACACTTTTATAAATGCTGCACAAAAAATGTTTAATAAAGAAATACCAAAATGGTCATCCAGCCAGTGGATGAACGGTGAAGTTGTAATAAACAGGCAAAATATTGACACTTCATGGACACACCTACACAAAGAATTAATAACGATGGCCCTAGGCGGCGTTTCGGGACACTGGCTATGGTCCTCTCCAGTATGTGGCGATACTGAAAATTTTGAAATCGATAGGCATAGTCAATTATGCGTCAAATGGTACATGGCAGCAACATTTTTCCCAATACTGAAAATCCACTCTAAGACTGTACCACGAGACCCAATCCAATTTGTTGGAACATACAGAACGTACATTGGCAATGCCCTAAATCATAGACTAAGTCTTCTTCCATACATTTATACCACTCTTCAAGAAGGACCATTGTTACGTCCCATGTTTTACCAGTACCCCACTACAGCGGAAATACAAGATCTGAATACTCAATTTAACGTTGGTGAAGATTTATTAATTACTCCTAATTTACAACCAAGTCAGACACATGTACATATATGGATGCCGCCTGGAACTTGGTATGAATTGTGGAGTGGATTAAAGTTAAATGGATCAGTTGGTGAGGCCGTAACTATGATTACGACGGATGCTGATTTTCTGACTATAATTCGCGGTGGTTCCATATTAATTATTCAAAAAGTAAGTTAACTCAGTGCGTTGGCTTGAGTGCTTATATTATGTATACTTATTATTTAGATGCAAGATTAGCAGATAGATCCTTAAGAACTAAAATGAAATTCCTTGTTGCATTTTTCTATTGAAATTAAGCAACGATTTGTTGAAATAATACTAGTTTTTACGGAATTTATCGCGTATATTTTAACTTTTTAAATACCCGACTTTTCTAGCGCTTTACAGCACTCATGGTCACGGGCAGGACTGAGATGTTCAACGTCCATATGTCATAGTTAACCGCGGTTACCATAGATTAAATTAACTTTCGTTCCGATCTAAAAGTTAAATTTTAATCTATGGTAACCGCGGTTAACTATGACATATTGACTTTGAACATCTCAGTCCTGCCCGTGACCATGAGTGCTGTAAAGCGTTAGAAAAGTCGGGTATTTAAAAAGTTAAAATATACGCGATAAATTCCGTAAAAACTAGTATTATTTCAATGTGTAGTATTCGCGTAAATATAAGAAATCATAACGATTTGTTGCTTATTGCTGGTACTTTACGATAGCATTAACTTTTCATAGCACCCCCAGGATAGGGAGCGGGGCCATCCCCCTCGCTTTTAGTGTACAAAACGTTTGTAATAATACAGTACTAATCAATTATTTAATAATATCTAACATAGTATTCAATCAAACAGAATTAGTCGCTTACTAATAACTTTCCGATAGTATGATATAATTCTAAGTAACCTTTGTTTTCAGGAAGTGAAAGAAACAGCGGAGGAAACGCGACTTCTTTCAAGGTTCTCTCTTATCATTGCGTTAGAATGTATGAACACAACTGAATATTTGACCGATTGCGAAGCGGCAGGTCATCTGTTTATGTCTTCGAACATGACAATAGATTTTCGTGCTACCACAGAACAACTTTACATAACAACAAAAGGTGAAGGGTATGAAACCTTCTGTGATTCAAACATTGCTGTGTGGGCGAATATAATAAAAGAAGTAATTATTTATGGACTAGATGAAAAATTAAATAATTACGATAATCATAAACAAATACAAACGTCCATTGATTTATGTCAATTAAGAGATAATAATGAGATACTGTTTGAATTCGCTTAATTTGTGATTATTTTATTGAATTTGAAATATAACATTTATTTAATTTTCGTTTTTCCTTCTTTACTGTTTTGGTATTAACACTTATTATTATTATAGTACCCGGATGACCGATGATGATGATTTTTTTTTGAAATTACATTTAGATACAAATTACATACTGATAAATAATATTTTTTGATCTTATTGACATAATAAAAGAACTGAACTGGTTATTTGAGTAAAAAATCATGAGTGCAATTAGTTTAATTAAAATTTTCGTATTTTTAAAAAAATACTAGAAAAGGGCTCGAAATAATAGATTTTCTCACAAAAGAAGGGAACTTGAAAAAAAAGAAAAAAAATCGGACCGAAAACAGGACGCGAACCAAGGCATTACGATTTCGCGACCGCTCGATGTCCGCTTGAGCATTACGATCATTAACACAGTGTCAAAATTTACCTTCTTATATTGTAGCAGTTTTTCATTGCCTGAAAACACGGACAAAAAGACATTTTCTAAAAATAAATCCTAGCTAGATTGATTTATTGCCCCCGAAACTCCCTGTACACTAAATTTTATGAAAATCGTTGGATCCGTTTCCGAGATTCCTATTATATATATACAAGAATTGCTCGTTTAAAGGTATAAGATTACATAACTTTTATACCTCGCTATTCTAGGTAAATAGTAATAATAATATTGAAGTACGTTCATTACACTTACAAAAGTTACAGAGAAAAATATCTATATATCTATACACGGTATAACTTGAGGGGTAAATCATTGGTGGCTAAGGGGTGGAGGACCTCAGTACCAATGGATTTAATCCCTCTGAGTGTAATGCGACATTCAGTGATTTAAAAGTTATTTGAAATTTTGTCAAAATCAGATTTTAGCCTAAACTTCGCTATTGCAGCCAAACTAGGTCAGTAACCATGATATTTTTTTTTCAATCAAGATAAACAAAGGTTCTTTTGTACATTTAAAGCAAACAGAGGCTTAGATTTATAAAAGTATAAATAATTTTTTTCTAACAAACAAAAATATGCGCACTCTTCGTTCCAAGATAACAACAATCCAAATCACATAGAGAGTATCGAAGTCCGATAAACAAGCTCAGCCGGGATAGCATGGGCAGGAGGAGGGAAGATAAATTTTTTATCTCTTGCTCAGTTTTATCCACAAAACTTATACCCACCTTTTATCGACAATAATTATACCCCCAATTATATCCACTGACAAGAGATAAAATTATCTTATCCCTATGCCAGAGTACGGCAACAGGGGAAAGGAGAAGTATATTCCCGTTTGACATAACGAGTAGACGTATATCCCTTCGTATGTAGCATGGGGTCAAAGGAAAGAGAAAAATTATACTTTTTTTGACATTTGAAGGGGACAATTTTATCATCGTTTATTGGAAGTGGGTTTAAGTTTATCTCTAACCATTTTAATACAAAAAAGATGTGTTATAAAATGTATTGTAAAATTACATCAGTGATCGATACGTGAGCAGAGTACTTAATTCATTGCAATTGCCCGACAACGAATTTCTACGCCGGTTTCGGATGCTCAGATTGTGTTTTGTATTTGTGTAAAGAACTCTATGAGGTTTTAAAGCCTATTAATTCTGTGGATGGACTACCTATACATATTAAAGTAAGCATCTATTACAACCACCTTGTGCAAAAACATCGTACATTTGCAACACGTGGCTAACTTATCTTAATATTTTTTTCTAGGAAAGTACTTTACATATTTCAGTCTCTTGGCAGATGATAGTTACCAGAGAGGTACGAGTCAAACTATGGAATAGCTGTTGTTCAAACAACAAATAATCAGCAAATACTTGACCCAAGTTATTGGGGCTATCATTAGAATGTGGGGAGCAATATACTTTAATGAGCCCCTCGTGTAAATATAAGTTTCAGTGCATCTACTTCTTTCATTTTATTTTTGACTAATACTGAAGAGAATATCATTTCCGGGCGTATAACAAGCAAGGCAAAATGTAGCTAAAGGATACCTAGCAGAGCATTGTCTGCCAGATATTCTTGGGGCTATTGACTGCGCCTATATTGATATACTTCACCAACTATTCCAGACTGGGGTTTAGTACAAGAAAAGGGCGGTCTACAATAATTGTTCAACTGGTAATAGGAAACAAGTTATAGAGTTTTTAAAAAACCTAAAACCTGTAATTAAGGTTTTTCTAAATAAAGAATAGTAGTGTTATATTCATCTGATATTCCCCTTTCCTCCAGAAATAACCGTAATGCTTATGTGCCACAATAGTCTTACAGGTGGTCCCATAAGACTATTGTAGTCCCGTTTAAAGATTCTACAACCTTTCAGATTGTAGTTACACATTAAACCATTGAGCTGTTGAGTCTCAACAGCTCAATACCATAATTTAATTACATAGGTTGTGGATGTTGAGTGCCCCATCATTGACATAAATGAATACAATATCCAAGGCGAGTCCATGATCAAGTCATATTTAACAACTCCAAAATTAAATCAGAAACAAAATGTCTGTATGATATTAGAATCGGTCTATACTATATTTTAGGTATAATGTTTTAAAATAAAGTTATCAAACTTAGTAAAGTTACAATTCAAAGTTTTAAATTAATAAATATGTTAATTCTTTAGCAAAGCTTGTAATTATTATATAAATATTTTAAAGGCGTAATATTAGAAATAAAAATAACACAAGACTCATGATCATAAAATTATTTCTTTGTTTTCTTTGAAATAATTAAATTTTCATTCTTCATTCTTCATCATTTTCAATTAAAATTAAATATTTGTAAAAGTATGAAATGACAAAAAGCAGCCATTAATTGACACCTATAAGGCATTTATGGAAAAAATATGTTACAGGGGCTCAGGCTTATTATCAGGGCTTTGGCTGATGGCTCCACATTTGAAAGCTGCCAAATAGTTCTGCAGAAAAGTACCTATATCTACCAACTGGCATTGCCAAGTGAGAAACTGTGTGGAAATAACAAATGGGTATCCCAAAGGCATATTCCGAAGCCTGGGCATTGACATGGTACTCCACCACAGTCCAGAGAAAGCTTAACAAATAATATACATTATGCTTATGCAACACTTTACAATATCATACAACATCAAAGTTGTTTTTTGTAAATATATGTACCTACATTATAATATTTGAGTGGTATATCCTCACATACATTATTACTATCGGAATGCTTGTTTACTAAACATTAATTTGTAAATTGCAAAATTCCAATGGAACGACCAAAGGACAACACATCACATCTGTGGAGCAAACCAGGATGTTGACAATTACTCGACAAAAAGAGGAGGTTAATAAATACATACTTCATTCAACTTAAATTTATTTGTATGATTACCTTCTCTTCTTTTAGAGTTTATACCTACGACTTGGGTGGGCATTCTGTTTACGAAGTAATTGATTTGCTTACACAAAAGATTATTATGCTCTTTGAGACTTTGAGTCTTTCGTCTATACTCTGAAAAATAAGGTCAAATATGTATTGACTACATCGGAACAATAAATAATTGACGATAAATATAGAGGAACAGGTCATAAAATAGTATCAATTATTTGTAAATATAGAGGCTATAGAGCCGTGGTAGCTCAGATGGTTAGCGCTCGCTGTAAATTTCACAATACGCGAGCAAACCGGGTTCGATCCCCGCCGGCACCAATGAAATTGTTAATTGCAATTTTAAGTGTTGATTTACCACGTGCTCGGCGGTGAAGGAAAACATCGTGAGGAAACCTGCATGTCTGAGAAATAAGAAAAAAGATATTTCGAAGACATGTGAAGTTCGCCAACACGCGCTGGGGCAGCGCGGCGGACACTTCCTTGCCCTAAAACCCTCTCAGAAATGAAAGGAGGCCTGCGCCCACCCGTGGGACGTATATAGGCCGTAACTTTACTTTTTTTTATAAAGTCTTGTAGAAAAAATTAGTTAAGTTTACATTTCGTTTTCATATAATACAACAGGTAGTTACCGCTGACCGCTAAGTGGGTCAGTGAATAAGTGAGTGAGTAATTCTTAGCGGTCAGCCGCCGTAGAGTCTACATTACCTGAAGATGCCTCGTGTAGAGGCGAAACACGTGTCGTATTATCGTCGATGGTGTGTCTTACCTGGAATAGTGGTGTTGGGAGTAGTGGTGCTGGGACTAGTGGTGACGGAGTTAGTGCATGCAATTGAGGGAGGGCGGGAGGTGCTCTTCAATCCCGGTAAGACACATCATTGTATTTATTTAGCGGAAGGTTGCAAAGAAATTTTTATTTTTTAATTATATATTATGTATATTGCATATTTGATAAATTATAATAGCTAAATGAAATGACCAACAAAAGGTTTCATATCATTCTTTAAGTTACCGAAGAATTTTAGAAGGAAATTATGAAAGGTGAATTTATTTAATTTTTTTTTGTTAGATAGGTACTTACAGCAAAAAAGAATTAAGTAATAATTTGGTCTACAGAAGAAATACCTAAGTACTTTATTACAAAAATTGGTTAAAATTTACTTCACTATCCATCCATTTACTTACATACGTTGTATTTTGTAATATTTTAAGTTATAATAACACAAAATACTGAAATTAAAACGTTGTATACTAAGAAGATTTTTAAGTAAGTGGAATAGATCACATTTCTGTTAGGAATCGTATTTATTTGTTGTTTACACTATCTACCTATTTCTCCCGAACCAAGTGTTGCGATTCCCGACGAATGACCTTGCAATTTCCTTGCGTTAGGCATCGTAATACTCACATCAAAGATGTTTTATAGGGACTATTGATGTTTTATAGGATTTATTGACTCACAAGAAAGTGTGGTCAGTCGATCATAGTCAGAATAGGTACTTCAACTAAGTAACATAATTAACATTTCGCAATGTATTTTTTACTTTCTATTGACATCCCTTAATAACCACGGAGAGTCCGTCGTGACTTAGGAAGCGGAAATGATGCAAAGTAATATGGACACTAACGCGCAGTGATAAAGTTTTATTTAGCTTGAACAAAATGAATGACATTTATGAGCACGTCAGAAAAAATTAGCTAAAAAGTAAGCAACTTATTATTAATAAAAAATTACGTTGTTGCAGACAGATTTCCATCGGCAATGATTTCCACCAGAGTTACACAACAACACTGCTGTTGCTGCTGTGCAACACTGTACGTAAAATGCTTCCATTCGCAACACTTTAATAAAAGAAAAATATAGTGTAGGTTCGACGTTCCTTTTTTTTTTAAAAAGTTCGATCGAGCATTACTAACTAAAACGATTACTAGCTCAAACGAAAGTTTAAAGTTTTAAAAACGAACGGAATTTTTATTTAAAAAAAATGAATAACGTTTGACTTAAGAGATACGACTCGTTATTTGTTAATAATTAAGATGATGCAATATAAACACAATTGGATGTTTTATCTACTTGTTACTAACAAACGTAAGCGTATACCATAAGTTATGTACAATTAGTATTATTTAATAATGAGTGCAGATTAGCAACAAGAAATATAAAACAATTTCAAATGTAAAACAATAATTTATGATAGCAAATAACGCATAGTACATAAATTAATATTACAAGCATAGGGACGCATTTCAAAAAGTAAGAAAGTTAAACAATGCAATGCAAACTTAAAATAATTACCGTCGATAATAATAGCAATCCGTCAATAATATGGCGAGTCATGTGAAAAATGGAAAATTATTAAATTTTACATATATAAAATTAAGTAAAATATGAAAATCACTAAATAAATACTTAAATCTATTACTAAATAAATATTAAAATAAATAAAAATTTTTTGCTTGCTATTTAGACATAAATAAGCATTTTCTTAATTTTGTCTATTTGTTTGTCTATTTGTCTGTCTGTATGTCCGGACTAATCTTCGGAATCACCTAACCGATTGCGATGATACTTCAAGAACAAATAGAGAGTACTGTCAGAAGTGATCTAGATTATCTCTTTTAGGAAAAAATAAGGGTTTTTTTGGGAAATCGAAAAACTTGAAAAAAGTGGTATTCGATGATTATCTAAAATACGCCACATATTATATAATAGGCCATAAATTCAAGCCATGCGAAGCCGAGGCAGGTAGCTAGTAATAAACATAAATGTTCAATAGATTGCATAATTTTTCAAACGTTATTCCCTCACCAAGATTTTCACCTGTATTGTGGTAGACAACTGGAGCACCCTGAACAATTATTTGTAGGCCCTACAAATGCTGGTTCCGTGCGGTATTCAACCCCGTGGCCCTCAGCGCCGCACGTCAATGCTGAGCCGCCACGAACTCGACCGGGGAAGGACCACGCTGTCACAGAATACCAGCGTAAACTAGTAGCTTAAGGCTGCTGTGTTACGTATGATGAGTGTAGAGAACTGGAGATCCTTTTTACTGGAAACATTCAATCATCTTAGTCCTCACGAGTGACAACGCATCTGCATTTTGATTCGTAACCGAGAATAGATGTAAATGTAATTGAATTAACAAAATTGACACTTTAATTACAGATCCATGGGCCACAGCAATCACGTACCATCCCTACACTACTGTGAACACTAGTGAACTTGTCACCCTATCCTATAAAAACCGTCTAAATAAATAAATAAAAATAATTACGGCCTATCAGAAGTCATCATAAAGTCGTAGGGATATTTGCAATAGTTGCCACGCACAGCAGACGGATTGACAACTCGTCTAGTCTCTCGTCTGTAGCGACACCCGCGGAATAACTTAAGGACCTATACTACCTCAGCTCAAATTCTAATTTCTCCCCCACTACCCCGCGCGTCGTATACTATTTACTGACATATTTGTAATCACTAATATTGTGAGTAAGTAGGTCGTTACATACTTATTTCATTAGGTTTATCATATTTATGCCTGTTTCTTTACGCCAACCCAGTCGCTTCTTATTTTTATTACGGTTATTTCCCATTTTAATTTTACGTTGTCCTATTGCGTAATGTGTATTCTGATCGTAAGCGACATAGCCTTCCCGTTCGAAAGCCGAAGCGAGGCAGATCGGGCGGCAGGGAACAAGCTTCAAGACGCCGATAGTTTAGGTAATGTAAGTCTAAGTCCTACTTTATAGTTAGTTCAGTCAGTAAGCAAAGTTTCATGATCTAATTTAAAGTAATTTATGGTTACCAGCGGTTTATTGTTCAGTTTGGAGGTAACTTTGAATTTTTTTTTTGGAAAAAACTAATCTATGGAAAAAATTTTACGGAATCATGTTTTCGTCTAACAAGGTACTTAATTCTCAACTTTACCGTATATTTATTTCAAAATTAATGCTGCAATATTTTCGGCGTAACGTAAGATCTTGCTAAGCTATTTGAGGTAGTATAGGCCCTTAAGTGGTGGATTCTGTTACGTGCTTTATTTCTATAATACCAAAGATTTTTTACTAATAACGTACCAATGGCAAATTACACTCGGCATTTTTAATTGTTTTGATTTTTTGATGTTTATGACATTTACTTTAAAAACATTAGCTGATTCGTTTACCTGATTTCTCACATTTACTTTAAACTTTTCCACCAGAGCTGATTTAAAGAGATATAAGACGTTAAAATATATCTTGCCGTGACTCGTAATAATCTTTAGGGTAAAGATAAAATTGTGTACATATCTGTAAAGGACACAGATTGAACGACCTGACCCCGCGGTGAACTCAGATAAATCTGTTTTCAAAGCAAACAACTGTCCATTTCGCTACTGAGAGTTACTTAGTGAAGTATCTTCGCCGATTAATTTGAACACTCTAATGAAAACAAACGAAAACCAAGAAAAAGTACATACTGAGAAGAAAAATAAAGAATCGGATAAAAAACAAGAACCAAGAATGCCAAATATTAAAGTGTTTACTGGGTGCTCACACCCTGAAATTGCAACAGAGATTGTCAAGCGCCTCGGTATCGACTTAGGGAGAGCCACCACCAAGAAGTTCAGCAATAAAGAAACAAATGTCGAAATTGGAGAATCTGTAAGAGGTGAGGATGTGTATATCGTTCAAAGTGGATGTGGAGAAATAAACGACAACCTAATGGAACTACTAATCATGGTTAATGCCTGCAAAATAGCATCAGCTTCTCGTGTAACAGCAGTTATACCGTGTTTCCCCTACTCGAGACAAGACAAGAAAGAAAAAAGCCGTGCGCCTATTACAGCTAAACTACTTGCAAATTTAATTTCGGTATCAGGAGCAGATCATGTAATTACTATAGATTTACACTCATCCCAAATCCAAGGTTTCTTCAACATTCCTGTTGATAATCTGTACGCTGAGCCGGCTATAACGAAATGGATAAAAGACAACATTCCAGAATGGAAGAGCAGCGTTATGGTATCACCAGACGCAGGTGGCGTGAAGAGGATGACTTCTATCGCTGACAATCTGGACATAGATTTTGCTATCATCCATAAAGAGAGACAGAGAGCTAATGGCGAAGAATCAACTGTATTAGTTGGAGACGTAAACAACAGAACGGCAATTATGGTTGATGATCTAGCGGACACATGTGACACTATATTAAAAGGGGCGGAAAAACTCAAGGAAGCTGGTGCAAATAAAATTTACGCCATTTTAACACACGGAGTGCTTGCAGGAAACGCTATTGATAAAATTAATAATTCGTGTTTAGAAGCCTTAGTTGTCACTAATACAATACCGCAAGAAAAAAATATGAAATTGTGTCCTAAATTGCAAACTATTGATATTTCGGTGATGTTAGCTGAAGCTATAAGACGCATTCATTATGCTGAATCTGTCTCATATTTATTTTCAAACGTTCCTTACTAACTTTAGGTATGATCTAATTGTGTAATATCATTTGTTATTCTATATATTTTGCCTGTTAATAAAATACATTTATATTGATATTTATTTGCGCAGTTCATAAACTTTTAAATCTTTGTATGGAAATTTCCATTTTATATCGTAATGTAATATAAAAGAAAATAACTTACACATATGTCATATTTAAATTAGTTAATAATTACCTACATTTAATCGATGAGTTACTCAGTAACTTTTTAATCTTTGACATCTACGTCAAGAGAACAGTGGATAAGTTTCAATAAGTTTTATTTGCGTTCACTGGAAACTGGAAGAGACCATTAACAAGTGTAAAAAGTCTTACACTTAATTTACCGGTATGAGGCTGCCACTCAAGAACCTTTCTTCCCCATCACTTATCGGTTCTTCGAGTTGAGTATGGCGTATTTCCAGTAATGACATATGGATCTGAGACGTATTCCTTTACTGCTGGCCGTATAATGAAGCTCAAGGTCGCTGAGTAAACTAAGGAGAGGACTATGCTCGATGTTTATCATATTGTCTATGTGACGTCACAGAACCTATCACTATTTCGCTAAGTTAGTGTCGTTAGAGGCGACTGTGAGAAACATCAAAAAGATTTTATGCCTTAGATTATTAGATATGCCTTATAGGTGGCGGCTAAGCTTATTACTTACGCCATACTAAAAACAGGGTAGAGTCAAAATGCGAAAATTCTCGAAATGCGTTCACTAAACTGCCAAACATGAGATTATGACAAATTCTAAAAGATGCCCACATCTACAACAGTGGAAATTCACGACGTGTTGATACATAAGAAGAATTGTTATTATCTAAATATCCAAAATGGGCTAAGTTGGAATTTGAAGAATCAAAAAGATATAAAAAACGAACTGTGTTGTTAACTAAAGCTTTTTTGTTACATAATTTTGCTGTTTTGCTCTAATATTTATTGGTATCTATTATTTTATGGAAGGCAAATGATGTAAGCTGACGTAACTATTATCTTTAATCATCAGCAAAATATATTCGAAACAAAGAATTAAGTTATTATTATCGTTATCATAGGCCCGCCAATAAAATGAATTTAATTTATAATTTTATTAAAGAAGAGGTTAAATGTTTAATAAACAGCAGCATGAATGTCATGTAGTGTAGGTATTATAAAATAATATGCTATATTAATATGCTTTATTATTTTGTCGGGTGTATGGCTTTTATTTATAGGTATGTTTAGAATTTCTAGTTAACACATCTAATGAGAATATCCGGGCGCGTTAAGTCCATAGAAACTTACTCCATTCTTTTCTCTTTCTAATGATCATATTCCTGATTTTTTTCATCATTTATTTTTAAAATTAGTAAAACTTTTTAAGTAGGTATATTATAACTTAAATGTGTGATACCGCCAGATTAAATAGATTATATATCTAGCAAATCCAGCAAACACATTTCACGAACATAAAAATAAAAGTTATTACACGTGGTAGAGCCATGCTGCAGATATATTAGTAAGTATAAAAAAAATTAGAGCCACGGTAGCCTGCCTCAACGGAGGCTAGCCATCGGTGCAGGACAGCATTATAGTGCCCGAGTGTATGTGTAAGCACAGGTGCACTCTCTATTCACTCACTCTCACAATCCGATGGGACGGTAAACCGACACGACCGGAGAGAGATCAGGCGCAGGACCAACGACTTTACGTGCTTTCCGAGGTACGGGGGTGAGACACCGCCAACTTCTTGACCCCGGGAGTTACTGAGAATTTCTTGACGGAAAACTCAATTGAATTTTTTGGCCCGACCCTGGATTTGAACCCAGGACCTCATGATCAGCAGTCGCACTACTACAACCACTAGACGAACGAGGCAGTCAATTTTATTTAGTATTTATAGTATAGTTGTAGCACGAATGCATCGGCTCGACCGGGGAAAGACCACGCTCTCACAGAATACCAGCGTAAAATAATAGCTTAATGCTGCTGTGTTTCGTATGGTGAGTGTCCCTTTTTACTGGAAACGGGGCATTCCATCTTAGTCCTCACGGATGACAACGCATCTGCATTTTGATTCGTAATCGAGAATAGATGAAGATATCCATGGGCCACAGCAACCATTTACAATCAGGTGGACTGTGTGCTCGTTTGTCACCGTATCCTATAAAAAAAGTCAAACATATCCGTATGTTTAAATTTTGCCACTACCCATCTAATTTTTTTTAAAATTGGCCTAGTTTTTGAGAAGGCTGTATAACCGGAGAACGGGGCACTTTTTCATAGGTATATAATCAGTCCGAGCTGCAGTACTTTCTCTAGGTTGCCTAGCTCAGCAGTTTGGGTACAACGTGCCAAGCGTGAACAGCAATAGATTGTTAAAGACCTAGAGAGGTTATTGTTGTTGAGATAATATTTTTTTATATAGTAGAGGGGGCAAACGAGCATACGGCTCACCTGATGGTAAGCGATTACCGTCGCCCTTGAGCAACTGCAACACCTGGGGAATTGCAGATGCGTTTCCGGCCTTTTAGAAAGGAGTAGGCTCTTTTCTTGAAGGTCCCGAAGTCGTATCGGTCCGGAAAAATCTCTGATGGTAGTCGATTCCACAAGGAAGTTGTGCGAGAAAGAAAACGCATTCGCAGAAAGTCAAAGCAGATCGGCTTTGTCCTTTGCGGCATGCGCCAGTGAGTCGTCCTCCCTGTGCAGAGATGGAAGAGATGACAGAAGTTCCCTTAGACAGCCTTGGCGAGAGACCAGAATGCACGTGTTCCCGAAGGAAGACGAACTAGTCTCTCGCCAATTTTGCCGATGTGCTTTGACTTTGCCTTGACAATGACACTTTTGAAGGACCTGGAGGCAGAATTGTACTCTTTTTAAGAGCGCTGGTATTTGCATTCCGAGACGTTTATGTGCGAGCCCAGGCCTGGTAGTACTCCTGCTTATGACGTAGTGCAATTTTGCTGGAGCGACCAAACCAAGGCTGGGTTCTGCCTCCGATAAGTATCACAGATGATGGAATAAAAAGCTCCGTTCCTTGTAGCACCACATCAGCGACAGAATCAGCAACAATGCTGGGATCATCCGGCGAGAAGCAAACCCTAATATATCATTCCTATCCATTTTTACAGTTTTCTTACATGGAAAACTTTTTTGGCCAACAGCATCCAGATTCATTGCATGTTTCATCAGGTCGTCACTCCATTAGTGGAGGATCGCCCAGCACTGCGTTTGTCAGTAGATAGTGCAGATATCCTTCTTACGAATTTTATCACGGACTCCGGTCAGCCCTTTCTATAGCTCGCCGAGTGTGTTTCCTCATAAGTCGCAAAGCTCATAAGTAAACACGTACAGGATCGCCCTTGCCATAAGATTAGATTTAATAGACTACGAATCCTCTCTAAAGAACCTGGATTAAAACGACACGGCTACGTTCAGTTTAAAAACGAATAATTTTAACTGAATAGTGTCATGGTTAACGGGATATGATATTGGGACGCCGAAAACCTCAGTCCCTCCCGTGATCATGCGTGCTGTAAAAAACTCGAAGCGTCGCGTCGGGTCGGGAAGATTAATGAACTTTTTACGTGGTAGAGAAATGCTGCAGCTAAATTATGGTTGCAGCACGAATGGGTTGCATGGGGAAGTTCCACGCTCTCATATAATAACAGCGTAAAATCGCAGCTCTTTGCTGTTGTGTTTCGTATGGTGAATGTAGAGAACGGGAGACCCTTTTTACTCAGGGGTGGCAACGCTTCTGCAATTCGAATCTTAATCGAGGATAGATGTAGACATTTATGGGCCACCAGCATCCACCTATCATCACGTGCCACTGTGTGCTCGTTTGTCACCCCTATTCTATTTTTTTTTAAATTAACATTGATAACAATTTCTTTACTTCTATGCGCATTTTACGATACAACCTTGTACGCGGACTTCTCGCTGTGCATTTCTCAGTTCGTGACGATTATTTGTCAAACTTCTTTATTTTACCGATTTGTCGCAAATAATAATATTGTTTTGACAATCAAACATCAAAAGCGAAACCTAGCTCAGCCGTTTGAGACGAATCCGCTTCCTTTATCGCTTTCAGTTTGTCATAATCAATCCTCCTCTTCGGGCGGCCACGAGCTTCATTTTTAAGGTCAACATTTTCCGAACAAAAGCGATTGAACCAATAACTCACGGTTCGTTGGGCGTACGTCATTGACATCGTATGCTGTAAAGGACGCATTATTTCTCATCAGGATTTATATTTAAATATAAACACAAACTTCAAAACGATTAACAAGTCAATGGACAAAAATATAGTTTTATTGCAGTAAAACAAAATATAAAGAAACAATAGCTATTTGTATCTTTATATTGTAATTAACGATATTGGTTTATTTAGGTTTTGTTTGTTCTGTTTTAATAAACAAACTGTTTTAAAAAAGCAATAACATGTATTAAATACAACATTTATCTAATTACCAAAATTTTACAAAAACTAATCGAAATTTTAATTATGTTTTTATTACATTATGACTTGGACCTTTTGTTAAAACTATCAGTGACTCCAGGGACATTGAAGATTTTAGTTTAACTTTGATTTGTTGCATTTATTGCATAATAGTGCTAAGGTCATCCAAGGATTCTTGCATAATTAGTGTATCATCAGTAAATCGAAGGTAAGGTATTGAAAAGGACCAGGTCGGATTTCCCTCTTGATCCTGAAAAGGACCAATTGAAAGGGACCTAGCGGATCGGGTACTAAGAAACAGGAATCGAGGCTTCTCTCGATCCGGCCTCCTATAACGCCTACGTTGGGTTCGGGAACAACGTATGTGATCTCCGCAACGGAGTAACACACAAGGGCGATAACCTCTTCCTTTTCAGCAAGTAGGTTCAGACGGGGATTACGGGTCTTCCGAAGTCGTCCCGGTCCCGACGCCTTAATTCTTCGATGTGGACTGTATAACTTAAGGGATGAATTACTTGGGAATGAAACAGCAATTATCTTCAAACCGTT